CCATCAGGGAGGGCCCTTGTCTTGCATATACGTCTGACCTGAGTTCGATCCCGGGCACGCCAGATGATCCCCTGAGCCCTCCAGGAGTGATCCCGGAATGGTTCAGAGCCAGGGGTAAGCCCTGAGCACTGCCAGGTGTGGCCCCCAAAACAGAAGGAGAAGGAGAAGGAGAAGGAGAAGGAGAAGGAGAAGGAGAAGGAGAAGAGAAGGAGCAGGAGAAGAGAAGGAGAAAGAGAAGAGGAGGAGGAAGAGGAGGAGGAGGAGGAGGAGGAGACAATATCAGATGACGACGATGACGACTTCCTTCAAATTGCACTGGGTTCGAATTCCAAATCTGTCCCCTATTGGTTCTGCCATCAGATTTTTCATGTCTTCGTTTAGGTGGTGTCCAGGGCCTCTGCCCAGCTCTGTACTTAGGGGTCACTTCTGGCAGTGCAAGGTGCGCGGCAGGGGGCCTAAGCTGCTCGAGTCCTGGCCTCCTCATGCTGGGCTCACCTGCTGAGTCAGCCGTCTCTTCTGCCCAGATTTACCATTTCTTCCTCTCATAGCAGGCTGAGGGCTAGCTTTTCCCTGGTGATGTAGAAGGGGTATGGTGAGGTCCTGAACAGAAGGTCCGATGAGGACAGAACTGGGGTGTCTACGGGACTACCCCTGCACCGTCCTTCGTTGTTGCTTCAGTAGCCCCACACTTGGCTGTGGGGTGCTAGAGCTTACACATGTGGTCGTGGCATTAGGGAGTCCTGTGGCAGTGCCACGGGGATCACACATGGCGTGAGGGGCAGTGCTGGGGACAGAACTTAACCCCTCCTGCCTGCAGCTGTCACAGCGCCACATCCCTAGGGACTGAAGTGAGGGAAGAATTGATTGATTTATAGTTTGGGGGCCACACCTGACGGCGTTCAGGGCTTACTCCTAGCTCTGTGCTCAGGGATTGCTCCTGGCAGTGCTAGAGGAACAATGGGGTGCTTGGGATTAGATCAGGGCCAGCCACATGCAAGACAAGTGTCCTGCCGCGTACCTGCTCTCTGGCCTAAACAGTTACTGATTTATTTTGGTTTGAGGGCCATAGCCAGGAATACTCAGGGATGACTCCTGGCTCTGTGCTCAGGGATCACTCCTGGTGGGTTTCAGGGGACCATACAGGGTGCCAGAGGTCAAGCCTATGTTGGCTGCGTGCAAGGCAAGCACCCTGCTCTAGTCGTGGCATTTCTTTTTCGTTTGTGAGCTGTCAAGAGACCAAGGAGCAGCAGTGCAGACCCCACTTGCCTCCTCACCAGCACCCCTGGGAACTGAGGTTTATTTTGCGAAAGGCAGTGTAGGACAGTAGTTTTTAGCTACTTGTCCCCAAGCCAGAACCAATATGCAAGGATTTTCCTGCCGATTCCCCAAACTTTGTGATGCTTAACATATGGTACCTACACGTGGATAACATTTTCACTTTGTAATGTTAGACCTGGCTGGAGTTTGGAACATACTTGGTGGTGTTTGGAGGCTTCTCCCAGCTCTGTGCTCAGAGGCTGCTCCCAGTGGTGTTTGGGGGAACTCTTGGTGCAGGGGACCTAACTGGGTGTTGGCCACCAGAAAGGCAAGCTCCTCAACTCTCATACTGTTTCTCCAGTCCCATAATATTAGATTTAAAAACAAATGCATAGAATGATGAAACGATGAGGGGGGGAGGGGGAGAGAGAGAGAGAGAGAGAGAGAACATTAGGTAAGGTGCTTGTCTTGCAAGTGACCGATCCAGGTTCAACTGCTGGGCATAGAGCCAGGAGTAATCCCTGAGTATTGGTGGATGTGACCCCCAAACAAATAAACACTAGTACACGGAATGAATGAACATAGTGACTTGTTCTGGGGTCCCTATATATTTCTTTTGGGGACCACACCGGCTGTGCCCAGGGGTCCTTCCCAGTGCTTGGGGGGTCAAACTCAGGCTCCCTCATATAGAGCGTGTGCTCCAGCCCTTGGCTGTCTCCCAGCTCTATACAACATGCTGTTATAAATAAGAATTTTCATTTCCGTCTTAGCGTCCCATGAAGCATCTTTTTGGCTTTTTCCAGCCGGCCAGTTGGAAGGTGGCTCACAGTGGTTGGGAAGAGGCCCTAAAGCAGTAGCTGCCACCCTGCCCCCTCCTTTAGAAGGGTATAGTGGCTACATGGTGGACTGCTTGGTTGGAAGGACCCTGAGGACACAAGAACACTGGCCCTGACTTCCTTCTCTTGCTGACGTTATCTATCTCCACTCAGACACAGACTTCTGGTGACAGATGCCACTGGGTCTGCATGTCATCCATTTCTCACCTTGGGACTCCTGTCCCCATTCTACAGAAGAGAAGCCTAAGGCTTACAGAATGAAGAGAGGTTAAGGAAAATGAGGGCTGAACTTGGGCCTACCAGACTCTGACTGCAGTGTTCTTACGTTTTTGGGGGCCACACCTGTGGTGCTCAGGGTTTATATCTGGCTCTGCACTCAGGGATGACTCCTGGCTGGGCTCGAGGGACCATAGGGGATGCTGGGGATCAAACCCGACAGTGCTATGTTCAAGGTAAATGCCCTCTCCTCTCTACTATGTCTCTGGTCCTGTTTCAGTGTTCCTTAAGCATCCCCCATCCCCGTTGGCATTTCCGTGTCCTCGACCCCCTGACCCGTGCTACCCCTGTGACTGAGCAGGACCCAAAGCCAGTCTCTGCCCAGTTATTGCTCAGGTAACTCAGGGCTCTGCGTGTCCTTGGTCTGAAGCCCTGGAGATGAGGTGAGGATTGCAGCCCTGACTCCCTCGGGCGTGCTCCTCCACATAGTTGCCTTTGGGGGTAGATGCCAAGTATTTGTGGGAGCCCTGAAGTTCACCACCTCTGCCTGCTGCACAGGCAGAATGGCTTAGCTCAAACTCTGCATCTGTGCTCAGGGCTGACCTCTCATATGGCCTTGGAGACCATATGAGGTGCCAGGGATAGAACTGAAGTCAGTCACTTGCAAGGCAAGAGCCCTACCCATTGTAACTTTCTTTTTTGTTGTTTTTGAACCACACCAGGCTGTGCTCAGGGCTTAACTCTTGGTTCTGTAGTCAGGGATCACTCATGGTGGGGGCTCAGGGGATCTCATAGGGCTCCGGTGATCTAACCTGGGTCAGTAGCATGCAAGGCAAATGCTCTCCTCGCTGTATGGTCTCTCTAGCCCCAACTAATTCCTTGATATCTTCTTATTTTAAATGAAGGTGATAGCTATGGTGGAGTGGAATCTACTAATTCAGTAGATTCCACAGGCCACATTTTGGCAACCAGACTCGCTCAACCCTTCCCAACTGTTGGGGGTGACACAGACCCCTCCCATTTGGACATTCTCGCACCTCTCACCGGCATCGCAGGTTCAGAAGCAAATTAAATGGGTGAGTTTCGGTGCCTCAGTTTCCTCCAGTAAAACGCAGATAATAGAACCTGTCAAGGTTGTTGTGGGAATTAAATGACTAATCCTTGTAATGCCAGGAACAATGCCTCGTCCAAGGGAAGGCCTCAGCCTAAGCTGTCATTATTGCAACCCGCAGCCAAACCAGCCTATGTCCCGAGAAAATACTCAGGAGTCTGCTTGGACTGGGAGACTCCGGAGGTGAGAAGCGACGGGAAAAGGGGGTCTTCCACGGGCGGGGGCGGGCGATCTGCGCACTGCCCCATCCTGCGGGGCCAGCAGCACCTTCATTTCATTTCGAACGAGGAGCGCAGGGCCGGGACAGGCTCAGTGACCGGCTGGAGTGGCCGGGTCGCCTCTCCCGAGCCGCCGTGCACAGCACCTGGCGCCAGGTAAAGGTCTGCAAAGGTGTGCAGGGCCCTCGGCGCCGGGCGCTCCCTGCCTGCCCGCGAGCGCCGCCCGGGCGCTGGGCCCGGCCACTCGCTGGCCCGCCGCACACGTGGGCACCCCGGGGAGAGCAGCGCCCCGGCCAATGGCAGCGGCCGAATCGCCTTCATTCAGCGCGGGGGCCCGGCCCGGCCGGAAGGGGGCGGGGCGCGGTCCGGGGCGGGGCCTCGGGGCGGGGGGCGGGCCCGCCGCGGTCGGACCAATCAGTGCGGCGCCCGGGGGCAGCGAGGGCCGGGCCTTTTTCCCTCAGCGCGGGACCAATCCCGACTTTACAAGCTTGAACTTTTGCCACCCTCGGACGAGCGAGCGCGCCCGAGGAGGTGCCCCGCCGCGCCGGCTCCAGGCGCTGGAGCCGCCTTAACTCTTGGCGCGCCGGCGGCCCGGCCGCGCTTGCGTGCGGGACGGTCCCGGGGCGGAGAGCCCCCGGCACCCCTCTCCCTCTCCGAGGTACAGAGAAAACACTAGGGCACGGGGAAGGGGAGTCCCGGCCTCCAGGGGGCCCGGGACGGCGGACTGCCCAGAGAGGGGGCCCCGAGAGGAGACTCTCCGCCGGCACCCCACCTCTTGCAAAGTGCCTGTATACAGAGCCCCTGTCCCGGCTGCAGGGAGTTTCTGCCCCATGCGCCCTCCCCCATCAGAGCGACCCCAACTTTGGTGCAGGGGCTGTGCAGAGCATCGTGCCATCGCGTAAGGTCTCGCCACCCCCAGGAATGAGCCGCCGGCCGGGGAGGCGCGCTCACACACGCACATCCATTTTTATTAACCTTCCCCGGGAGGGCGGTTTGGGTCAACTCTGGAGCGCAACGGTGCGACTGAGTCCGTGCAACCCGCCGGGAGAGGCCAAGCGCCCCGTTCGCACCGGAGTCGGCGGTGGACCCACCGAGGCCCCGTGCCCCCGCCCGTGGCACGTTTCCCGGTGCGCGCGTGTGCGCGTGTGCGCACGCGTGGGCTCCAGCGCATCCGTGCCCCGGGCGCGTCGCGGGCTGGCGGGGGCCCGGGGCGCTGCCAGGCCCGGGGCGGGGGCGCGGGGCGGGGGCGCGGGGCGGGGGCCGGGGCTCGGCCCGCCCCGGGAGCCGCGGGCCCGGCAATGGGACGCGTTCTCCTTTAAGAGTTAAGAAACTTGAAACCTTGTTTGCGCAACAATCAGCGCCGCGGAGCCGCCAAAGTGTCTAGACTGGCATATGATGGGAGGCAGCCAATGACTCCGCGGCGCTCCTCCGGGGGCCCTCAGTGTGCGTTTGAGGAGAACAAAAAAGAGAGCGAGCGAGCCGCGCGGGGGAGCGAGCGGGGGAGCCGCGCCGGGACGGGGAGCCGCCGCGCGCGCCGGGACCGCGGGGCCGCCGGGAGCCACTTCCCGCGGCGGGGGGACAGGGCGGCCTCTGTGGCCGGGGCGCGCGGGGCGTCGGTGCGGGACGCGGGGCGGGCGGCCACTGCGGCTTCGGCGGACTGCATTTTTAGCTAAGGATTTCCAGCAGCTCTTTGGGATCTTTACAGTTTCCACTCATGCGTTGACACCCGCGTCCGGGAGAGACTCCGAGTGCTTTCCAGCGCCTGGGACCTGAGACGGACTCGGCCTTGGGTGCAAGCAGTTGCAGGCGTTTTGGTTTCGTTTGGGGTTTCTTTCGTTTTTTTTTTCTTTCTTTTTTCCTTCTTCCCTTCTTGCAGGGAGTGAGAAGGGAGCGGGGGTCCTCCGCACGCCTGCAGAAGCCCATGTAGTTGAGCGCTCGGGTTGCTGGAGCCTGCCTGCGCTTTCCCAAACTCCACTCGGGGGTTCCGGCGCGGGGGCTTTGTGCTCATGGAGCCGCCGCGCAACTTTTGAAGGCTCGCCGGCCCATGCGGGGTCTGGGGGGGCGGCGCGCCTGCTGCACCCCCCCGCCGCGCGCGGGGGCCGCCCTAGCCGAGCCGCGGGCGCGCGGGGGCCCATGTAGCCGAGGGGTCGGCGCGGACTGCGGCTAGGAGCGCGCGCGTTCGCTCCCCGGCGTCCCGGCTCGGCGAGCTCCCTGATGTGGCCGGCCCGCGGCGCCCCCCCGACGACAGACGGCGCGCGGAGCTTCATGCGGGGCCGCGGCCCGCGCCGCGCTGAGGGCACGGACCCCCGCTGACCGGAGAGCGCCTCCCCCCGCTCCCCCGGCGCCCAAGGGTATCGTATGTTCAGGTCCAAACGCTCGGGGCTGGTGCGGCGACTTTGGCGCAGTCGTGTGGTCCCCGACCGGGAGGAAGGCGGCGGCGGCAGCGGCGAGGATGGGAGCTGGGGCAGCCGAGCCGACCCCGGCCCGTGCGCGCGAGACGGCGGAGGCTGCGGCCGCCCGGACGGCCGCCCGGTAGCCCCGCGGCGGCCCCGGGACGCGGCGGGACCGCGGGGCGCCGGGCGGCGCCGGCGCGCAGGCGGCCCCCCGAGGCCCGTGGCCGAGCCGGGGGCCGGGACCGGGGCCGGGGGTGCCCCGCGGGACTTGGCGGAGCCGGGCGGCCCCGGCGGGCTGCCCGAGAGCGACTGCGAGACGGTGACCTGCTGCCTTTTCTCGGAGCGCGACGCGGCCGCCGGCGACCCCCTGGCCGGGCCGGCCCCGGAGCCCGCGGCGGCCGGGCGGAGCCGCGAAGCCCGCTCGCGCCTGCTGCTGCTGGAGCAGGAGCTGAAGACGGTCACGTACTCGCTGCTGAAGCGGCTCAAGGAGCGCTCGCTGGACACGCTGCTGGAGGCGGTGGAGTCCCGCGGCGGCGTGCCGGGCGGCTGCGTGCTGGTGCCGCGCGCCGACCTCCGCCTGGGCGGCCAGCCCGCGCCGCCGCAGCTGCTGCTCGGCCGCCTCTTCCGCTGGCCCGACCTGCAGCACGCCGTGGAGCTGAAGCCCCTGTGCGGCTGCCACAGCTTCGCCGCCGCCGCCGACGGCCCCACCGTGTGCTGCAACCCCTACCACTTCAGCCGGCTCTGCGGGCCAGGTGAGCACCGCGCCCAGCCGGGGCGATGGTGGGGGGGGAGTGGGGGCGTGGGTCCCGGTGCGCGCGTCCCCTGGGCAGTCTCCGGCGGCGAAGGTGGACGCAGTGTGGCCCCAGCCACACGGGACAGCGAGGAATGGGGTACGGTGCGCCCAAGGGGAGCCAGGGGCCCCAGTCTGTAGTGGGCCCGAGTCTCTAGTGTTTGTGGGTGTGGGTCTCTGTCTCTGTGTCAGGCTGTGTGGTTGGGGGCAGACTCGCAGGGCCACAGTCCCGGTGGTACTGAAAACTGCTCCCCTTCGGAGACTTTGGAGCAGAAAACTCTTGTGGGGTGACAGCTCAAAGTGGGGCTCACCCTTTTGCTCTTATATTGCGCCAGGCATCTCGTGGGGGTCAGGTACTCCGCTTGCTCACATCCTCGCGTCCTTGCTCTCCAGCATCCTCGCTCTCATTCTCTCCAGCATCCTCTTTCTCTCCAGTATCCTCACTCTGTCTCGCCATCATCCTCACACTCACTCATTCTCCATCATCCTCGCTCTCCTTTCCATCATCCTTGCTCTCACTCTCTCCATCATCCTTACTCTCATTCTCTCCATCATCTTCACTTTCACTCACCAACCTCGCTCTCATTCTCTGCCACATCCTCCTCACTCATTCTCCATCATCCTCACTCATTCTCCATCATCCTCTCATTCTCTCCATCATCCTCTCTCATTCTCTATCATATTCGTTCTCACCTGCTCCATCCTCCTCCTCTCGTTTTCTCCACCCTCACTCTCAATCTCTCTCCATCATCTTCACTCGTTCTCTCTCCATCATTCTCTCATTGTGTCCAGGTGTTTCCCTAGAGTACAGGGTCCAGGAGGCATCTGTGAGTAGTTGAGGAAGCTGGATACCTGTGACAAGTGCCCCCTTTCTTTTTTTTTTTTTGTCTTCCTGGGCTCTCTCTCTCTCTCTCTCTCTCTCTCTCTGAACCCCCTCCTTCCCCATCACATCATTGCCTGTAGCTTCTTACTGGCCCCTGGAGGTTCTGTCGAGGCAACTGTTAGGGGCTTGAGACTGCTGGGCCTGGGAGAACTTGGGGCTCCTGTGCCCCTTTTGCCCCTCTGTTGGAGCAGAACTCATTCCTGCTCGGAGCTGATTGACCTCGTCACTTTAGGGCTCACACGGCCTTTGGGACAACCCTAGTTTGTATTTTCTTCCTTCCCAGGCCCACTGCAGGCACTATTGAGTGTTCCTGCTTGCCAGGCTCCATGCTGGGTGCTGTAGTGGGGAGAGTGGAATCTGAGTAGGATCTGTGCCCTTTAGAAACCTGATCTTCTGGGGAAAGGGGGCAGTAGAGCCAGGCCTGAGGGTCTGAGCCAGTGGACCTTGTTGGGGTGTAACAGGATGGCCCTTGGGAGTGCCCTAGTCTGAACCAAGTGGGGGCTTAGAGGATGGATTAAGGGAGGTGGGTGCCAGCAAGCTCAGATGTGAGTAGGGAAGGGAAGGGGGCAAAGCAGGGGTCCCTAGGCATGGCACAGCCCTGTCTCTAGTGTTTGGGCTGGAAAGCCTCTTGGGGGTTTGAGTTGGGACTTGCACAGCTGTGGGGTGAGGGCTGAGGGCCCAGACCCTGTGAACTAGTCCTGACCGCAGGCCTGGCCCCAGGCTCTTCCTGGCTGGCCAGGCATCTTGACCTTGGACTAGTAACTTCCTTCTTGAATCTCCTGTCTGGTATCCAGGGCTGGAGGAACAATCTCCACACTAATTCATGTTTGTTTGGGGGCCACACCCACCGGTGCTTCAGGCTGACTCCTGGCTCTGCTCAGGGATCACTCCTGGCTGACTCCTGGCTCTGCTCAGGGATCACTCCTGGGGGTGCTTGGGGCACCCTCTGGGGTGCTGGGGATAAAAGCCAGGAGAGCAGAATGCCAGGCCGGCGCCCTCCCTGCTGTGCTGTCTCTGGCCTTTCTATCTCATTCTCTAAGAAGTTCTGGCCCTGAACTCCCCCAGGAGGTGCTCTCCAGGACTCAAGTCTGTTCTCAGGCCTCTCCACTAAGCTAGAGGATCACAGCCGGCTGTGCCTCATCCCCTCCCTGATGGTTTGGGGTACAGGGACTTTGGCTGCCACCCCACCCTATGCCATGCCTGACCGTCAGCCTGGCTCCTGGAACCAGGCGGGCACATAGCTGGTGCCCAGCAGTGCGCGTCCTAATAAAGAGTATCCCAGGGCACCCGGACAGAGGGACTGATGGATGGACACACACACACGCACGCACGCACGCACCCACCCACCCAACAGTGTGCGTCCCAATAAAGAGAGTATTCCAGGGCACACAGTCAGAAGGACTGATGGATACACCCCCACCCCCCCACACACACACCCCACCCATAATGGGGAGACATAAAATCCTGAGGTCCAGACTGAGACAGATCCTAGGTTACAAGGACCACCCACCCATACCATATTCGTATTTGTGTCAAAGTGGGGGAACCCCTCTGTCCAGGGCCCCCTGCTCCTGTGGGGTCAGGCCCTCCTTGGCCCTCCCTCTCCAGTAAAGCCATTGCTCTGAGCTGGGTGCCTGTGTGAACGGAAATGTGGAGAAATACTTTAATCACGGTTCCAACCTATGTTTAGGGAGCTCCTTTCTCCTCCAAAGTATCCATTAAGTTTGGAATAAATCTCCTGCTCTTTGCTTCACCACCGTTTTTTTTTTCTGTAATTATATTCAGTAAATTACTATTATCCAAATTGCACCGGGGAAAGAGAGAGAGAGAGAGAGGAGAGAGAGAGAGCGAGAGCGAGTGAGAGACAGAGAGAGACACAGGGGGGGGAGAGCGAGATATGGAGAGAGAGAGAGAGAGAGAGAGAGAGAGAGAGAGAGAGAGAGAGAGAGAGAGAGAGAGAGAGAGAGAGAGAGAAAGTGCAAGGTTCTAAAGGGCTGGAGGAGCCCGAGACAGCCTAGGGAAACGCAGGGTTCCCAGGCCGGGACTGTCGGAATGAGACTGGGCTAGAAGGTTTTCCTTTTATTTGGCCTGGCATTATCCCTTTGAAATGAGATCAATTTCAAGTTGGGCTTCCAAGCCCGCCCCGCCCCTCCGGCGGCCCCTCGCCCAGCCCTGCTCCTTCTCGGAGGTGAGGAAGGGGTGATAATGTGCAGTTTGCCTCTTGCTGGCGCCAGCCGGCCGCGCTGTTTATCTGGCTGCCTGGGGAATCCGGGCAATTAAGCTCAGCCGGCCCTTAAAGCGCCAGGAGCGCCTTTTCTGCCTCTCCCACCCTGGTTGGGTGGGGGAGGGGCGGGGGGCTGGAGTTCCCAGTGGAGGCAGGCCCCGGGGAGCCCCCCTCCCCACCCTCAGCCCTCGACCACCCGCGGGAGTCTGGGCTGCAGAGTTCAGAGGGAAAGGTGATGTCCCGAATGGGAACTGGAGCTGGTCGGGCAGGAGGCTGTGAACTCTCCTGGCTTTGGAAGCTGAGCTCATCCCCAGAGACTCTCGGGAGGCTAAGCACTCCCCAGGGTCAGGCCTGGAACCTGGCTGACAGTTCTGCTGGCCCTGGGGTGGTGCCTGAGGCCAAGCCTGTGAGCCTGAGGGGCTGCAGTTTCTCTCTGACCCCCCCCCCCCCCCCAATTGCATGTGTAGAGCACCTAAGTTCTTTTGGGTTTGTTTGTTTGGTTTTTGGTTTTGTTTTGGGACCACACCCAGCAGTGTCAGACATATTCCTGGCTCCCAGATCACTTCTGGCAGTGCTCAGGGATGCTGGGAGTTGAACCCAGTTTGGCTGTGTGCAAGGCAAACAACCTGTCCGCAGTTAAGTTCTTCATTTTAAATGAATCCACCTTCTGCAGGAACTGAGCCTGGGGCTGCTCCTCCTCCTTGCTTTGCCTATCTTTTGTTGTATGTGTCTAGTCCCCCGCCCCCCCATCCATCCTTCTGCCTCGATCTCGGGCTCCCTTTCTCCCAGTGCCTGGATGGAGTTGGTGGAGTTGGGTGGATTAAAGGGGTGCCAAAAATTCCCTAACTTCAACTTGAGAAGTGGGAACAATCAGGATGTCCAGAAGTGGGAACAATCAGGATGTCCATGAGGTGACACAGAAAAGGTGGTGAGTTTGGACTGGGGAGAGAATGAACAGAGCAGGTCACACTGGGAGCGAATCTGGAAACCCTTGTGAGAAGGAGAAGGGGCTGGGAGAAAAGGCCACAGCACGGATTGTGGGAAGTATCCAGGACAGGAAGTGGCAGCTCAGGGGCTCTCTAGACCTGAGGGTGGAGGGTGTTTCCCCCTCTAAGGGGGTAGGTAGGACTTCTTCTGGGGATGCTGGAAATGGCTGTGATGAGTGATTAAGAATGTTCAGAGGTGCTTTTACGGAGCAGCATTGAACGGAACAGAGGGACTAGGAGGACCCGAATCACTCAAACAACCAAAGTTGGTATAGGACTCTCCTCGCCTAGACTTGGCAGCTGGGTGCACATCTGCGTGGACAGGTGGTCCCTTCACAGAAAACAAGAGCTTGCTGGGGTGAACACCGACACTCTTAAGGAGTGGCTTTCACGGGGAGGTCTCTGAGCTTCAGAACTTTTCTCTGGCCTGGGATGGGGTTCAGTGATCCAGCCTGGCACCTTTGGGAGCTGCGTAGGGTTCAGGAGCCTGTGCATGTGGACCACCAATCACTGTTTCAGTTTCTGGCATTGGGGTGCCTTCCAGGTGTGTCTGGCCTCACACCTCCAGTCATGAGCCTCCAGTCACCCCTTCAGGTCAAGGTCAAGCCCCTTCCCCCCAGGGTAGACCAGGATATCCTACTCCCTTGCCTGCCCACAGCTGCCAAACATCACCCCGGAGCTTGAGGCTGACAGCTTCCCACCCTCTGTGTCCTGGGCCCTCCAGGCTTGTTGGTTGGAGGGAACCTACCATGCAATGTCACCTCCAGAGAAGTGTGGGGCATGGGAACGGTAGAAGCAGGGAGTCAGGGAGGTCTGGGCCCCTGATGGACTCTGTGGGGTTACTTCCACTGTCCAGGTGGCTGACTGGCTCCTGTGGGGGGAGTCTGGGGCTTAACACTCTCTACCTCACCCCCTGCTCTCTTTCTCCCTCCGGCCCCACCTCCCCTCCAGCCCTTCCTGTGTTTGGCCTCTGAGTGGTGGCAGATGGGTCCCCAGCTTGTTGGCTGTCTCCCTGGGCTCCTGCCTTTGCCTCCAACATCTCATCTTCCTTCTCTGCATCTTTGTCAGCTTTTCTTATTATTTTTATCACCATTGTCTTTGTGTACACCTTACACCTTCCTTTTTTTTTTTTTATTATGGGAGTAGAGGTTTGCCTCCCCTCGTGATCAGGGATCATTCCTGGCAGTGCTGGGAGAACCCTGTGGGGTGTTGGGGATTGAACCTGGATCAGCCTCATGCAAGGCAGAGATCCTGCTGTATTGTCTTTGCTAGGTGTGATAAGCTCCCCCCTCCCCATTGCCAGGTGGTGGTATGGAAAAAGAGGTGCCTCCTGGAGGCCTGTGTCACTGGAGTGAGGGGTAGCAGTGAGGCCCGGGCACAAATGCCAGCCCCAGTGGGTTTGGCAGGGCACAGTGCTCAAGCCGGGTTTCCTGTCTGTAAGAAGGGAACACTTGACTGCCAACTCATTTGTTTTCAGAAAGGGGTGACATAAACATGGGCATCCAGCGAGCTTAATGAACCACATTTGTACCTAAGGCCCAAAGGCTAGAATATAACGAATGAACTTGAAAACGCGGCAGGAAGAGAAGCCCGCGTCTCGGCGTGGCTCTCAGTGCCTGCACAGTGGCCAGCTCCTGCTGTGTTCGAACCCGGCCCGTAGCCATCCCTGTCCTGGGGCAGCCTTCCCTGTCCTTTGTGGGAGCAACTGCTGGCAGAAAAAGAACCCCCAGCAGGGAAGAGATGAAGCTGTTTTGGGTGCAGAGAGAAAAAGAAAAAAAAATGCTCCTACAACTAATTGTGCCTTATTCTAATTGCGAAAAACACTTATTAGCCCGTGTCATTACTGATACCTGCCTAATAATAGTTATTACCACTTTACTACCACTGAGAGTTTGTTTTAGTTTGCGATTTGATGGTGCTTAGTTTCATTTACGGAAAATGAAGGGTCATTTCATTCATGCAAATTGTTACTTAGTTTAGCAAATTGTTACTTCCCTAAAGCAAGAGGCTGAGGAATCTTTCTGAAGACAAAGTATATGTTTTTAAGCAGGAGTATTTTAGGCAAATGAAAGGAAACCAAAGAAAAATACCATAGACAATAAGCACTCCCAGGGGGTCTGTTCCCCGGGGTCCTTCTGGCCCCTTCTCCAGAGGGACATGGTTTCAGTCTCAACCTCCAGGTGGGCTTTGGGTTCCGCTTCCTGTTTCCAGATACCTGTGCAAGGCTGTCAGGGTCAGTGCTAAGGCAACCTGCTTGCAAACCGCTTTTGTGTCCTGGCCTGCACTGCCGGGCTCACTTGGGAACCAGGGTTGCCATATGGGTTGGTGGAACCTCGAACGCCCACTTCCCGTGGCATTGAGCTACGTGCAGCCCCGCACCACTGCTTGGGGGGGGTCAATGGGTGACAGGGGTCGCTGGTCCCAGTGGCTCCAGCACAGAGGCTGGCCAGGGCAGGCTGAGCCCTCTTAGTTTGCCTGATTATACTCCAGGACATTTGCACGGCGATGAAATCACCTAATGACACGTTGCCCCCAAAGCCTGTCATTACAGAGGCCTGACTGAGACATGAAATGTGTTAGCATAAGTTTATCTCAGATATTGCAAGGGACTTCCTCACACTGGAAAGGGGCGCGGCCTCCACCTAGACTTCCATTTAACTCGGCTTCCTGTGCTCAGCCGGGCAGCCCTAGTTCCAACTTTACCTCCTCTGCCCTCCTTTCTGTTGTTACACTGTTACTACTACTAATGGTAATTGTTGGCGGAAGTCTTTTTTTCCACTCTGCCCAAGGTATTTCTTTTCCTTTTTGGTCACACCCAGGGGCGCTCAGGGGTTACTCCTGGCTCTGCACACAGGAATCACTCCGGGCAGTACTCGGGACCATATGCGATGCCGGGGATTGAACCCCGGTCGGCTGTGTGCAGGGCAAACGCTCTATCCACTGTACTATCACTCGGGTCCTGTACCAAGCAGTTTTCAGTACTTAAACTTTGTCTCTGATTATTGTCTGATGAAACATTTCAGAGTGGTTCAGAGAGGTGAAGGAACTTGATGGAGGTCACACAGCCCGGGGTGGGAGTGGGAGATGCTGGCCCAGGCCGGTGTGCTGGCCAGTGTTGTGGGCCATGGGCATCTTAGTGGGTGGGGGCGGAGGGGACAGCAGGCGTGACTCCTCAGCCCGCAGTGACATGTGTCTCCTGTTTTGCAGAATCCCCGCCCCCTCCCTACTCGCGGCTCTCTCCTCCTGACGAGTACAAGCCACTGGGTAAGTGTGCCGGCCACCCACGTCCTGGGCTGGGGGTGGGGGGGGAACGAGGGGGAGTTGACCGGGTAAGCCTTGGAAATGGGGTGAAGCTTTGCAAACACCCCACACTTGGGCCAGAGCAGACCCCACCACCCCGCAGCCTGTTTACTGCTGGAACTTCTTCTATTTACATCTTGAAATTCCACAGCTCATCGTTAGCCTCTCAGTGACCTTCAGGCATGGGCCCATGGGAGATGAATGGGCTTCACTGAAGCATCTTCCTGGAAGTTGGAAGTGGGTGGGCACTTCCCTCCCTCCTCCTGCCCACCTGCTCCCAGGGGGCATCCCACCCCCTCCCTCGTAGGTGTGCATTAATTAGCAGTGTGACGAATGGGCTGGCCATGAGGTCTCTGCGGGGAGGGCTTCAGCTCCCCCTTTTGAAGTCCAGAACTTCACCTTGGCCAGAGGAGTGGCAATGAGCAGATTCAGAAACAGCCTCTGTTGCTGGAGCGATAGCACAGCGGATAGGGTGTTTGCTTTGCACACGGCCAACCCAGGTTCGATTCCCAGCATCCCATATGGTCCCCTGAGCATTGCCAGGTGTGACCCAAAAAGCAAAGAAAAGAAAAGAAAAGAAAAGAAAAGAAAAGAAAAGAAAAGAAAAGAAACAGCCTCCATGGGGCCGGAGTGATCATACAGCGGGCAGGGCATTTACCTTGGACACAGCCCACTGCGATTTGGTTCTCGGAACCCTGGATGGTCCCCCAAGTTTGCCAGAAATAGTTCCTGAGAGCAGACTGAGGGGTGAGCCCTGATCACTGCCAGGTGTAGCCCCTAAATGAAACAGAAATAGCCTGTGTATGAAGGCCCTGAGCTGGGCCAGGAGTCTGCATGTACACAGTGGGCTGTGGACAAGTCCCCTTGCAGGTAGGAATGTGTTCTGGGCAACTTTGGGGAGACCACATGGGGTATTGGAAATCCGGGTGTTTGTGCTTTTGACCTCTGGTGTCCCTGGGCAGGCCCCTCTGGCCTGGCCTGACTGGGCCAGGAGCCTTGGGCAGCTGCTGTGGGGCTTAGATGCCCACTTTGTCCCAGTGGGTTTGGTTTGGCACTTGGGCAAGGTCCCTCCTCTTGCCTCCATCATCCTCTGAGGCTGCTGGCCCGGCTATGCCTCCACTCTCTCCCCATGGTGGTAGAGTGCCTCCAGCTCCACCACCCCCCCCCCCCAGAACCTCAGACCTAGGGCAGAGTGTCCCGTGGACAGCCCATTTCTGAAGTATGACCAACTCTTTGAGTGCGGGCACTTTTTCTTGGGGGGGGAGGGGGTTGTCACATCCAGCAGTGCTCAGGAGTTACTCCTGGTTCTGTGCTCAGGAATCACTCCTGGAGAGGATTAGGGACCCATATGGGGGGGATCGAACCCAGGTTGACCCAGTGCAAGACGAGGGCTCCCTGATCTCCTAGGGCAGGCACTTTCCTCTGTGAGGTGCAGGGTGAGCATGTGGAGGGACCCCTGCTGTGTATAGAGGGGAGCTGGGACTGAAGGGGGGGGGGAGGACTGGAGCTCAGACCCCCAGCCCGGTTCCCCAGGCCTCTGTCAGCATTTCTGAGGTTAGCATAATTATAGGAGTGGTTTGGAAGTTCCTGGCACTGAGCAGACCCCTCCAGGGTCTCAGGGACTGGGGCTCCTCAGTGAGGATGTCAGGGTTTGTTGCCCCGAGCTTGTGGGTGGTTCAGCCTGGTAGTGGCTGGGTGGCCCTCAGCTGTGCAGGGTGACCTGTGGGGAAACTGCTGGTCTCCAGGATGATTTTACCAACAGGACAACTGAAACCCAGAAAGAGGAAGTGGGGGCCCGAGAGAGAGCACAGTGGGTAGGCCACTTGCCTTGCATGCAGCTGACCTGGGTTTGATCCCCCAACACCCCGCAGGTTCCCTAGAGCTCTAGGAGTGATCCCTGAGTGCAGAGCCAGGAGTGAGCCCTGAGCATTGCAGCGTGTGGGCCCCTACCAAAATTGAAGAAAAATAAAAAAGAGGAAGTGACTTTGGGCAGGTGGTCTTACAGTTTCGGTGTGACTTGTAATCTATAGCTACCTATTTCCCCATGACCCACCAGCTAAGAGTGGGCTTTGCGTTTTGTTGGTTTTTTTTTTTTGGTCATTTTGATTTCCTTTTTTGGAAATTTAAAAAAAAAAGGAAAAAGGTGGCAGGTTTATACCTAGCTGTGCTCAGGAATCCTGGAAATGCTCAGGGGACTATTAGTGCTACCTGGCATGAACTCAGGTTGGCTGCATGCAAGGCAAATCCCCTACCCACTGTGCTAGTTCCCCCTCTCCCCTTTTTTGGGAGCGCACCCTGCAGTGCTCAGGTCTTACTCCTGGCTCTGTGCGCAGGGATCCCTCCTGGCAGGGTTCGGGCACCCTTTGCCCTAACCACTGTACTATCTCGCTGGCCCCAGTATGTCCTTGTTGTAAATGGCAGCCTCCGAGGGCTGGACGTGGGGTTTGGCCTGGGTGGAGAGTGGGTGGGGGCATGCCTGTCATTCTCCATCCTTCTAGGAACCTCAGTGCTGCCTGAGAGATGGCGGAGCCTGTGCTGTAGCCCTCTTTTTTTTTTTTCTTTCCTTTTTATTTTTGGTCACACCCAGCGATGCACAGGGGTTACTCCTGGCTCTTTACTCAGGAATTACTCCTGGCAGTGCTCGGGGGACCATATGGGAACCCGGGTCAGCCGCATGCAAGGTAAACGCCCTACCCGCTGTGCTATCGCTCCAGCCCCTATGCTGTAGCCCTCTTTAAATGACGAGTGGCAGCCGGGCCCAGGATGCTGATTCAGGAGCTTTAGTCATTAAAAGCCAAACTCTGCTGGGGGGAGAGTGTCACAGGGAAGGTGTCTGCCTAGAGAGCAGCCAACCCCGCATGGGCCCCTGAGCACTGCCAGGGGTTACTTCTGAGCACAGAGCCAGAAGCAGCCCCCAAGGGGACTGGAGCGACAGAACAGCAGCAGGGCACTTGCCTTGCAGATGCCCGACCTGGGCTTGATCCCTGGCATCCCCTACTGCCCCCCAAGCCCGCCAGGCGCGACTCCTGAGTGCAGAGCAAAACTCTCCTAGGAAATCCCTACTCAGAAGGGTGAGGAACAGCTCAGTGCGCCTTGCACGTGTGCAGCCCAGTGTTCAATGTCCAGCAGCACAGGAAGGAAAAAAGAAAAGAAAAGGAGTTCTCATTTAGGCTCTGAGGCTGTTATTTATTTTGGGGGGCTTTTCCTAGTGGTACCTGAGAGTATTCCGTGGGGTGAGGAATGGAACTCAGATGATTCCATGCGAGACACGGGCTGTCCTGCAGCCACATCCCTGGCTGGTGGTGGTGGTGGTGGTGGTGATTTTTGGTCTGACAGGTGCCTGTGGGTTACCTGGTGCTGCTCAGCCTGCCAGTGTGGGCTGGGTGGCTCAATGATCAGGCCTGATCTGCACTCTGGCCTCTACCGTTGTAGTTTTGTTGTTGTTTGGGGACCATACCCAGCGGTGCTCAGGACTTATTCCTGGCTCTGTGCTCAGGGATCGCTCCTGGTGGGCTCAGGGACCCTATGTGTTGCTGGGGGTTAGGGCTGGAACATGCATGGCAAGTGCCATAACCCCTGTGCTTTCTCTCCGGCCCTGCTCTTTGAGATTTTGTTGGTTTTTGATTTTTGTTTGTTTTGGGGCCACATCTGGTGATGTTAAGGACTGTCTCCTGGCTTTCTCCTCAGGGATCGCACTCAGCAGGCTCTGGGGACCGTATAGGGTGCCAGGGATCAAACCCTGTTTGGCCAAGTGCAAGGCAAACGCCTCCCTGCTGTGTACTATCACTCCAGCAACACCCCCACCCCACTATTCTTTTTTTTTTTGACTTTTTGCGTCACACCCAGCGCTGCTAGGGTTAGTCCTGGCTCTGCACTCAGGAATTCCTCCTGTCGGTGCTCAGGGGACCATATGGGATGCTGGGAATCGAACCTAGGTCAGCCACTTGCAAGGCAAACGCCCTACCCGCTGTACTATGGCTCCAGCCCCGTACTATTTATTTTTGAAAAGAGGTTTTTTGAGACTCTTCTTTTTCCCTAGCACATTACCATCAGGTAATTTGTCCCACTCCAATAAACAGCCCAAGTCACATTCTGTGTTTTTTTTCTTTTTGTGGTCACCCGGGGCCATGCTCGGGGCCTGCTCCCAGGGCTGTGCTCGGGATTCACTGCAGCAGTGCCAGGGAGCAGACCCAGACCTCCTGCATGCAGAGCACGCGCTCAGCCAGCTCGGCCCTTTGAGCCGCCTCCCCAGCCCCTGTATTATTTTCTTTTCCTTGCATTGTTGCTCTTTCATAAACAAAAAGTCAGTTCACTTCTAAGGCCCTGTGATCACATGAGACCGAAAAACAAAATACAACTCAGAACACCCAGTGTGCGTCTGGGAGGGGGAGAGAAAGGCCACGTTGGTTAATGTTTCATCTTCCCGCCCTCCCCGCCCCCCCTCCCCCCCAAGCCGTGTGGTAAGAGCGAAAAATGCCTGCGGGATGGAGCATGGAATTCTAGCCCGCAAGGGCCCCAGGAGGTGGTTCTTGTCCCAGGAATTCCCAGCACAGGCTCTCCTGAGTCAGGTGGGGCTGGGCCAAAAGTTGGTTTTGCTGCAGGGGGGCACGTGTGAGAGGACCCCAGGCCTCATGGGGGGGGGGGTGTCCCTCCTGAGTGCTGGCCCTGATGTTCCTTCCCAGGGGCAGTGTCCTGGGAGGCACAGGCCGAGAAACCGTTCCAGATCCACCTGCCCCCACATGCCCCGGTTTGTCAAGCTAGCCACTCTGTGTTCCAGAGAAAACGTGCAGAATTTTTTCCTTCCCCACTGAGGAAATGCAGACAGTGTGCGCCTTTGGAAGCGCTTAGAAATAGCGTCGGAAAAACAGGCCAGGCATTGCAAGCTGCTCCTTGAGCAGCCCGGGTCTGAGGGAGTGGAGGAGGGGAGGAGAGGGAGGGGAAAAAAAAAAGTTAATCTGGGAGCAAATGCTTGAGCCCTTAATTAGAGGGGTGTAAGCGGGACAGAGTGAGGCTGGCTGGTAACTTGTTAAAACAGATTTTCTCCAGCACCAGCCAGAGGAAGGAAGGAAGGAAGGAAGCAAGAAGGAACAACTTCAAGAATTTTAATGGTTGTAATTAAGTACGGCAACTATGAATTGTTTCGGGGCTTAATTTAACCTTTCCCCGAGGAAGCTCCAAGTCGCTGCTTGCTCGGTGCCCTGAGCTGGGGCGATTGCTGTGGTCAGAGCGATGGGACGAGTTTCAGGGGTTGGGGCCGCCGCCGCACTGTTTTCCAGAAGATTCCCTAGAGGAGCCAGGGTCCTGCTGTTGGGATGGGCCATGAGGGCTGCACCTCCCGTGGGGTGTGTGTGTTGGGGGGGGGTGAAACTTATATGCATACCCAGTGCCTGGGTCTGAGAAAGGAGGGAAGGGGGTGCCCCCATGCCCACTGAGTCTGTCTCTCTTCCTCCTGCAGATCTGTCGGATTCCACATTGTCTTACACTGAAACAGAGGCCACCGGCTCCCTCATCACTGCTCCGGGCCACTTCCCAGGTGGGTGCGTCCTCGGGGCCTGTCCTGGTAACCCGTTGTCTTCCCTGTTTCTTGTGCTGTGGCCTTTGTGCATGATACCGGGGGATGTCTGGTGACATCTGTCCCCTACACCCTTCTTGTGTTCTGGTGGCCCTCCCACCCCCAACACTCTCTGAGGCTCGCTTGGCCCTCCCACTGATGGCGGCAAACAGGTCATGTGTGTGTATGTCCTGTGTTCGGGGGAGGACCAGGGAAGGGTCACAGGAGTGGGGGAGGAGGGAATAGTGGGCAGGGTGGGCTGGTGGTGCTGTGGCAGGCAGTTTGCCAAGAGTCCTGTTTATGCGTGAGCAGTGGCTGTCGGGCCCAGGACCAGGAGAGACCCTGGCTAGGACCCCCAGGGAAGTGTCAGTTCTGGGGTACCTCGCACTCCTGGGAGTGTGCCCATCACTTGCCTTGAGAGTGAGAGGGGGCGGTGACTTGGGGGTACTCCTGGAAGGACCCACTGCCAAGGTCTGTGGGGCAAGGGGGGGTGCTTGGTGACTTGTGGGGTTTATGGCCTGGTTCTGAGCTGGGTGGGTCCATAGCCTCTGAGCTCCCCCCTGGGCGTGGCTGGACCTGGACCACTCCTGTGCCTCACTCTCCATCGACTCTCTATCACCATAGCAACCGCAGCATGCAGTTGGGATGCCCTGGGCCCACGGCTTCCTGAGCGCTGGGCAGTGACTCACTCAGCACCGCCTTGCAGCCCAGCTGTTGGCCACCATGCACTTATGGGACACTGGCCACTGGCTCTTTGGGGAACCCTCCCCACAAGTGCTCTGGATCATTCTGGCCCCTCCAAGGGTGATGCCACCCTTTGGCCCCTCCCATACTCCACAGCAGCCTCGGGGGAGCCTTGCTGTGCCAGGTCCAGACACTGGAGGCCTGAGCAGGAGGGACAGCGCCCTGTGCTGGACTCAGGGCCCCTTGCTGCATCCTGTGTGCTTGCTTATGGGGTCCCCGTTCAGAGACTCGCTTGCTTCTCTGCCATTGGTTCTGACTCATAATTAAGCTTTTGTGTGTGTCTTTGGAGGGCTGGAGCGATAGCACAGTGGAAAGGGTGTTTGCCTTGCATGTGGCCGACCTGGCTGACCTGGGTTCGATTCCTCCGCCCCTCTCGGAGTGTCCGGGAAGCTACCCAGAGTATCTTGCCCACACGGCAGAGCCTGGCAAGCTCCCTGTGGTGTATTTGATATGCCAAACAGTGACAACAAGTCTCAAAATGGAGATGTTACTGATGCCCACTCGAGCAAATCAATGAACAACTGGGAGGACAGTGCTATCGTGTGTCTTTGGAAGGTCCCAAGCTGATGGGAACAAAGGCCATGACTTGAATGTGTGTGTTTGGTTTCTTTGTGGGAGCCACACTTGGTGGTGCTCAGGGGACTGGGCAGTACCGGAAGTGGATTCTGGCCTTCTGCATGCAACAGACAGTCCCAGTCATGAAACCATGTCCCCTTACTGCGTCTCCTGGTTGGGTGCCACGGGTAGGTTTGAAGCAAGCGACTTGCAGGTACTTCTGCACGTGGGACTGTGTCCCCACCTTGGCATGCATTTCCTTGGCTGACTCGACCCCTGGGTGCCTTTTTTTTGTCTTCCCCATGGCCATCATTCACTGTGCCAGCCCATGTGCAGAGCTCAGGGAGGTTTCTTCACTTTTCCTGTACTCACAGCACCTAATTCCTGATTTTGGTCATCCCAGAGCCAGCTCCTGTGGGGTCCTGGCAGGAAGGACGAGACCCTGAAGCAGTTGCAGGTGGTCCTTTCCCCGGGTCTGGGGCCCTTCAGCTGGGCTGCCCAGCGGGTCTGCTTGGGAACCACAGGCCACCCAGGGGCTGCGCTGACTTTGGTGGAGGGAATTGGTGACTCTGTGCCTGGGTCTCTGGGGACTGAGGGAATGGAGCGCCATGAGTGCCCAGCCTTTAGTGGAGAAACATGTCTGCGGGCATCGCTTGTGTTCTGGGTTCTCGGTCAGCAAGAGGAACCCCAGTGTGGTGTCCAGGCTCTTCCCACAGGGGCAGGGCACACTGTCAAGCTTTTCCACAGACTGTGGGTCCTGGCTAAACCCTCTCCTGGCGGCCCCCAGAGCACAGACATAGGGAGGAAGGTCCTGGGGTGCCGTGGCTTGGATGGAGCTGGGGTGTGGGGCTCTGCCCAAGGCCAGCTGGGAGTGGGGTCAGGAAGGTGACCAGCGGGCACGGGGCAGGTGCGGGGTGTGTTTGTTTTTCTGTCATTTGGACCAAAACCAGCAGTGCTCAGGACTGACTCCTGGCTCTGTGCTCTGGGATCACTCCTGGCAGAGCTCAGGGGCCCATGTGGGGTGCCGGATCAAACCTGGGTCGGCTGCATGCAAGGCAAACGCCCTCCCTGCTGTTCTGTCGCTCTGGCCCACCAGGCATGGCAGTTTGATATTAAAGGGCAGATGACACGGACACTAGCTGATGCCCCTCACTCTCTGCCTGGGGTCCCTCAGTGAGACACGCAGGTGAGGACAAGGCTCTCTGCCGCCGAGGATACCCAGATGCTTGAAGGGTGAGCAGCCGGCTGCATAAGTGTCAGTCCCAGCCCACCGATTTCCTTGCTACTCTTGGTACCTGGCTGCTGCGTGGCCCCCTCCCCACTTTCTAAAGCTCCTTCAGGTCCTCACAGACAGATGGAGACACAAACAGGAGCATGAGAAGTGGTCACTGCCTCTTATATGGGGTGGGGTATATCCAGGAAGACTGACTGGAAGAGGTGACCTCCAAGTTGTTTTTCTTTTGGTGGGGAGTTGTTTGGGCTACCCCTGATGATGCTCAGGACTTCTGGTTCTGTGCTCAGGGCTCATTCCTGGCAGTACTCAGGGGACCTTATATAGGTCAGTCACATGTAAGGCAACTGCCTTTCCCCCTGTACTCTCTGTCTAGCATTGGTTGAAGCTACATAAATGCAGAGCAGAGGCCAGAGACACCATTCAGGGCTGAAGGCACTGGCCCTACCCTTAGTAAGCCCCCGTGGTTTCCTGAGCCTCACCAGGAGTGCTCCTTGCGATCAGGGCCCGGTGTGGCCCAACCCCTCCTCTCAAGAAAGCAAGTCCTGGGGGCTGGAGAGATAGCACAGCGGGTAAGGTGTTTGCCTTGCATGCAACAAACCCAGGTTCAATTCCCAGCATCCCATATGGTCCCCCGAGGACTGCCAGGAGTAATTCCTGAGTACAGAGTCAGGAGTACTGAGCATCGCCAGGTGTGACCCAAAAAAAAAAAAAAAAAGCAAGTCCTCTGTCCAGGGCTACCACCCTGGGCTCTGCCGGGGGCCGAGACTGGGGACACTCCAGGTGGAGAAGAGCAGGTGTGGCACTAGCCCGGTGCTCAGCGACTAGAGGAGTTTGGGGGGGATTGGGGAGCCCAGCATTAACCGGTGGGGGGAGGCAGGGGTTGTGCCCAGCCCTGTGCCCAGGCGTTGTTCCTGGCAGTGCTGGGGACCCAACACAGACCTCCTGAGGGTGGAGCCTTCACCAGCCCTTTCAGAACCCATCAGGTAGAGCCAGGACTGGAGCAACAGGACAGTGGGGAGGGTGCTTCCCCAGCACACGGCAGACCCAGGTTGGACCCGCGGTGCTCCATGGGGTCTCCCAAGCACTGCCAGGAGTGATCCGTGAGCGCAGAGCCGGTACTGAAATTCCAGGAAAATGCAGTTGGTTGCCTCCAGCCTAACCACAGCCATCTGTCTGCCAGGCCCCCAGCTCGCCCGCCACTGCCCCCGCCGGAGCCCCCCCCCCCCCCCCCCGGCACCCCCACCCCTGCATCTCTGGCCATCGGGAGCCACGCTCGAAAGTTTCCTTGTCAGGGCACCGTCATGCTTGCCAAGAGTCTTTCTTTGATGCAGAAAATATAGCCCGGAGGTACTTTGTCAGATGTTTTTGTATTAAACATTCTCCCTCCACGGCCAAGGTGATGCATTGCTTTTCCAGTTGCCCTGGGTGGAAAGAATTCTAGTTTTCCACCTCCTCCAGGCAGCCCTCAGCCCAGGGGCACTTCTCGTCAGAGAGGGTGAGGCCGGAGGGGTTGGCACCTCTGCAGGGCACCCTGAGGGACAGGCGCGGGGCTCACCCCATGCTAGAGGTCACGTCTGGAACGGGCACCCAGGCCACCAGTTCAGACCATGGAGGAGACGCAGAGTCCAGCTTCCGCAGGAGGGTTGGGGGCTGGGCGTCAGGGGCCTAGAAGCCACTTGATTCTATTTTTCGTATGGCTGAGGGTGGCATGCTGCCTCCAGCCCCGGAAGCTGCTTTATCTTTTATTTCTTTGCTTTTGGTGTTTGGTTTCAGTGCTCAGGGATCACTCCTGGTGGTGCTGGGGGGGGGGTGGTGTTTGGCCACGTGCAAGGCAAGTGCCCACCCTGCTCTTCTGTCTCTGCGGCCCCTGGAGGTTGCTTTAATCTAAGTTGACTTGGGTGGTGTGAGCACTGGGCTCAGAGCACGACAAAGCAGAAGGATAAGGGGGTGGACATGGGATGCTGGGCGTGCTGGGCATGGAAAAGGGAGGTGAAGGGCACGGGAGGTGCTGTAGGGTGCTGGGCACGGGGTGCTGGAGGAGGCAGGGGGTGCTGGGGGAAGGCTTTGCTGTCAGCTGTGGTCAGTGAAGTGGGCTGGCGAGGGATGGGGCAGGGGCAGTTGTCTTGCTGACTAAGCTGAACCCTGCACCCGGCATTCGACAGATTGTCCTCCCTGGCCAGCCTGGAGTCGGAGTGTGTGCCTGGGCCCCCCAGAACTCTCCCTGCTCCACTCTGCGCTCTGCCCTTCCTGCTGTCCAGTGCTGAGCAGTGCCCTTCTGTTGTTGTGTCTCTGCCTTCATTCGCCGCTCTGCGGTCCCCCAGGGCCTCATGTCCACTCTGTGCCACCACGCCCTGCGGGGCCACTCCTGGGCACGGGCACCATTTCCAAAGCAAGGATTTAGGGGGCTTAATGCAGAAGGCAGGGCCCGGGACCTCCCCACCGAGCTGAG